TTTGAGAAAGCGAGCGCCTCTTCGATTGATTCGGAGAACGATGCCTCATCGATTTTTGAGAAAGTAATCATGCTGGGGGTCTGGCTCTCGAGATTCGAGGAGCAGTGTCTCTTCTATTTTTTAGAAAGTAATCATGTTGGGAGTCTGGCTCTCGAGATTCGGAGGGCGGTGCCTCTTCGATTTTGGAGCAAGCAATCTTGTTGGGAGTGTTAAAATTGCTATTCTTTTACCCTTCTTGGTCAGAGCGATGTAGTGGGAGCTGCAAGCTTCACGTGCTCAACTTTGGCAGAGAACTTTGGCAAAGTTATCTGTGGTACCCATGAGTTATTGTTGCGTGTGGGAAGTGGGTGATTGAACAGTAAGATTCATGTGTTTTCTACTTCCCCAGAAATCTTTGACAGAATGCCCATAATTTCCGCAAAGCTGAGTGTGCGTGTGACAGGTGCTGACAAGGCTGAAAAAGTAGGTGCCTCTTCGATTTCTGAGATCGGCTCTCGTGGTCTCTGGGGAGCCCAGCTTTTGAGAAAGCGAGCGCCTCTTCGATTTCTGAGATCGGCCTTCGTGGTCTTTGAGCAGCCCAACTTTTGAGAAAGCAAACGCCTCTTCGATTTCTGAGATCAACCCTCGTGATCTCTAAGCAGCCCAGCTTTTGAGAAAGCAAACGCCTCTTCGATTTCTGAGCAGGCTCCTCTTCGATTTCTGAAGCTCCGTCGAGTGCAGATTTTTATAGGGGCTGGCATTAAGTTCCAAAGCACACTTGAATCTCCACCAGTAGAAGCTTCATTCTTGCACTTCTAAGATCTTGATTTGTCCGACCTCTTCTCTCTTCAACACCTTTGAAAATGTCTGGCCCCTCCGACCGTCGTTTTGACTTGAACCTTGTTGAAGAGGCAGCCCCGCCTTCTCCAGACAACATATGGCGCCCATCCTTCGTCTCCCCTACTGGTCCTTTTACCGTTGGGGATTCCGTGATGAAGAATGATATGACCGCTGCGGTGGTGGCCAGGAACCTTCTCACTCCCAAAGATAACAGACTACTTTCCAAACGGTCTGATGAGTTAGCTGTTAAGGATTCGCTGGCTCTCAGTGTTCAGTGTGCAGGTTCTGTGTCTAATATGGCCCAACGCCTATTTGCTCGAACCCGCCAAGTTGAATCATTGGCGGCTGAAGTGATGAGTCTCAAACAGGAGATTAGGGGGCTCAAGCATGAGAATAAACAGTTGCACCGGCTCGCACATGACTATGCTACAAACATGAAAAGGAAGCTTGACCAGATGAAGGAAACTGATGGTCAGGTTTTACTTGATCATCAGAGATTTGTGGGTTTGTTCCAAAGGCATTTATTGCCTTCGTCTTCTGGGGCTGTACCGCGTAATGAAGCTCCAAATGATCAACCTCTAATGCCTCCTCCTTCTAGGGTTCTGTCCAGTACTGAGGCTCCAAATGATCCCCCTCCGGTGCCTTCTCTTTCTGGGGCTCTACCGACTGCTGAGACTTCTCCTAAGCAACCTTTGTGAAGGCTCCCTCTTGTGTGTTTATTTTGACTCATGTATATGTACATATTTGTAGCTTATCGGGGATATCAATAAATAAGCTTTCCTTCATTTCAACGTATTGTGTTAAATACACCAAAGCCTTCTTCGCTAAGTTCTTTGAATTTTCTTTTGTTGAAGCTTGTAAGTTGAAGCTTTCTGAGTGGAGCATGTAGGTTGGGGTAGTGTTCCCTTAATTTCCCGAGTGAGGAAAACTTCTCGGTTGGAGACTTGGAAAATCCAAGTCACTGAGTGGGATCGGCTATATGAATCTTAGAACGCCATTGTGCTCGATCCTGTGTCATGTCCTTCGTTAGATCCAAGTACTCTAAGTCTTTTCTTAGAGTCTCTTCCAAAGTTTTCCTAGGTCTTCCTCTACCCCTTCGGCCCTGAACCTCTGTCCCATAGTCGCATCTTCTAATCGGAGCGTCAGTAGGCCTTCTTTGCACATGTCCAAACCACCGTAACCGATTTTCTCTCATCTTTCCTTCAATTTCGGCTACTCCTACTTTACCCCGGATATCCTCATTCCTAATCTTATCCTTTCTCGTGTGCCCACACATCCAACGAAGCATCCTCATCTCCGCTACACCCATTTTGTGTAAGTGTTGATGTTTCACCGCCCAACATTCTGTGCCATACAGCATCGCCGGCCTTATTGCCGTCCTATAAAATTTTCCCTTGAGCTTCAGTGGCATACGGCGGTCACACAACACGCCGGATGCACTCTTCCACTTCATCCATCCAGCTTATATTCTATGGTTGAGATTTCCATCTAATTCTCCGTTCTTTTACAAGATAGATCCTAGGTAACGAAAACGGTCGCTCTTTGGTATTTCTTGATCTCCGATCCTCACCCCTAACTCGTTTTGGCCTCCATTTGCACTGAACTTGCACTCCATATATTCTGTCTTTGATCGGCTTAGGCGAAGACATTTAGATTCCAACACTTCTCTCCAAAGGTTAAGCTTTGCATTTACCCCTTCCTGAGTTTCATCTATCAACACTATATCGTCTGCGAAAAGCATACACCAAGGAATATCATATTGAATATGTCCTGTTAACTCATCCATTACCAACGCAAAAAGGTAAGGACTTAAGGATGAGCCTTGATGTAATCCTACAGTTATGGGAAAGCTTTCGGTTTGTCCTTCATGAGTTCTTACGGCAGTCTTTGCTCCTTCATACATATCCTTTATAGCTTGGATATATGCTACTCGTACTCCTTTCTTCTCTAAAATCCTCCAAAGAATGTCTCTTGGGACCCTATCATACGATTTTTCCAAATCTATAAAGACCATGTGTAAATCCTTTTTCCCATCTCTATATCTTTCCATCAATCTTCGTAAGAGATAGATTGCCTCCATGGTTGAGCGCCCTGGCATGAACCCGAATTGGTTGTCCGAAACCCGTGTCTCTTGCCTCAATCTATGCTCAATGACTCTCTCCCAGAGCTTCATTGTATGACTCATTAGCTTAATACCCCTATAGTTCATGCAATTTTGTACGTCGCCCTTATTCTTGTAGATAGGCACCAAAGTGCTCGTTCGCCACTCATTTGGCATCTTCTTTGTTTTCAAAATCCTATTGAAAAGGTCAGTGAGCCATGTTATACCTGTCTCTCCCAAAAGTTTCCACACTTCGATTGGTATATCGTCTGGGCCTATTGCTTTTTTATGCTTCATCTTCTTCAAAGCTACAACCACTTCTTCCTTCCGGATTCGACGATAAAAAGAGTAGTTTCTACACTCTTCTGAGTTACTCAACTCCCCTAAAGAAGCACTCATTTCATGTCCTTCATTGAAAAGATTATGAAAATAACCTCTCAATCTGTCTTTAACAGCGTTCTCTGTAGCAAGAACCTTTCCATCCTCATCCTTGATGCACCTCACTTGGTTTAGGTCCCTTGTCTTCTTTTCCCTTGCTCTAGATAGTTTATAGATATCCAACTCTCCTTCTTTGGTATCTAGTCGTTTATACATATCGTCGTAAGCCGCTAACTTAGCTTCTCTGACAGCTTTCTTCGCCTCTTGCTTCGCTTTTCTATACCTTTCACCATTTTCATCGGTCCTCTCCTTGTATAAGGCTTTACAACATTCCTTCTTAGCCTTCACCTTTGTTTGTACCTCCTCATTCCACCACCAAGATTCCTTTTGGTGTGGGGCAAAGCCCTTGGACTCTCCTAATACCTCTTTTGCTACTTTTCGGATACAACTAGCCATGGAATCCCACATTTGGCTAGCTTCCCCCCTCTCTATCCCACACACATTGGGTGATTACCTTCTCTTTGAAAATGGCTTGTTTTTCTTCTTTTAGATTCCACCATCTAGTCCTTGGGCACTTCCAAGTCTTGTTCTTTTGTCTTACTCTTTTGATATGTACATCCATCACCAACAAGCGATGTTGATTAGCCACGCTCTCTCCTGGTATAACTTTGCAATCCTTACAAGTTATACGATCCCCTTTCCTCATTAGAAGAAAATCTATTTGTGTTTTTGACGACCCACTCTTGTAGGTGATCACATGTTCTTCTCTCTTCTTAAAGAAGGTGTTGGCTAAGAAGAGATCATATGCCATTGCAAAATCCAAGATAGCTTCCCCATCCTCGTTTCTCTCCCCAAAACCATGACCACCATGAAAACCTCCATAGTTGCCCTGTCTCCCTGCCCACGTGTCCATTTAAATCTCCTCCTATAAATAACTTCTCCGTCTGAGCAATTCCTTGCACCAAGTCTCCAAGATCTTCCCAAAATTTCTCCTTCGAACTCGTATCCAACCCTACTTGAGGTGCGTACGCACTAATCACATTGATAAGTTCTTGTCCTATTACAATCTTGATTGCCATGATTCTATCTCCTACCCTCTTGACATCTACAACATCTTGTACCAAGGTCTTGTCCACGATGATGCCAACACCGTTTCTCGTTCTATTTGTGCCCGAATACCAAAGTTTAAACCCTGAATTTTCTAGATCCTTTGCCTTACTACCAACCCACTTAGTTTCTTGTAGGCACATAATATTTATCCGTCTCCTCACCATAACTTCCACTACTTCCATAGATTTTCCCGTTAAGGTTCCTATATTCCACGTTCCTAAACGCATTTTGCTCTCTTGAACTCTACCCTTTTGTCCTAGCTTCTTCACCCTCCCCCGTCTAATAAGATCAAAGTACTTCTTTTGTGTGTTCCGGGTAAAGTTGATAGGAGCATATGCTCCCAAACAACTTTGAGTGGAGTCGTTCGAAAAGAAGTTTCTATGGCCCCCTTGCTCATTTAACACTGCATCCGGGTGCCGATGGAGATACAGCGACCCTTGCTCACTTATCACTGTGCTCGGGCCACACAGCGTGCCACTTACGGGTGACGCCCTAGCTTTAGCGCGATTTTGTTCTGGATTCATTTTCATAAGGATTCGACGTGATCATGGAGTGCCGGCTGTCGACTACCTGACGCCCTCCCCCTCCTCCTTTATCCTTCATCTTCATCTTCATCCCCTTCATCTGCATCCCCTTCATCTCCATTCTCATCGTCATCGTCTTCTTCCTCCTCATCACCTTGTTCTTCCTCATATGCTTTTCCTACTTCACCTTTTGCTTCCTCATCATCCGCTTCGTCTTCTACTTCCTTATCTACCTCTTCCTCCCCTTCCTCCTCATTGCTCTCATCTACTTGTTTATTGGAGATACAAGTTGACACCCAAGGTTTTGGCTTTGGGCCTGTACCCAAATCTGTCCAGAGAGAGGCAAGAACCTGGAGGTATATACAATTAAATTAGCTTTCTTTTAATGAATTCAAGAGCTATAGCCTATAATATTAATCACAGGAAATACAAATAATGAAACACATTTTCAAATGAGAGTTCTAAAACAACTACACAAATTAATTAACACATTTTTCGATAATAATGCAACTACACCACTATTCAAAATTAATAAACACATTTTTCTTTTAAAATCTCATTGCAATTATCCAAATTAAGGTTGAAAAGATAAAATCAAAGATAGCTTCTCCCCTAATTCCTCGAAATTTAGGTGTATACAATTCCTTGATCAATCATTTAGTGGCCCAATATTCCAATGTATACATAAGAGACACGGATCTATGGTAAATCCACTAAAATCTTTCATTTCTATTGAACTTTGCTCTAATATGAGAGAAAGGGGTTTCTCTAAAACCCCAAATTATCACAGTTTTAAAATATTCTTGCATAACATAAAACATTCAATTCTGTTTACTACATTGTATATGAAGAATTGGTACAGAGGAAGAGGAAGATGATAGAGAGATTCTAGAGAAAGAGTTTAGAGGGAGAAATATGATTTGTATTAACTAACTAAATGAAGATTACACACACTGTTTTATAAGAGAAATCCTAACTTCTTTAACCAAATACTAACAACCTTACTAACTATATTACTAACTGTATTTCTAACTGTATTACATTTGTACCCTTAATACTCCCCCTCAACCCCAGTTGAGATTGGAAGAACATATCTGCAATTACTGCTACGAAAACAGAACACAGTTGAACAAGTCGCAGTCTTGCAATCACTTGAAACTTCAAAAGCTGCTTTTAATGGAATCACTTCTCAGTTAGGCATCAGACCCATCAACAAAAATCAACAGATCGACTACTTCTCTTCTTTCAATTCTATATTCTTCCACAAACCATAAGTCCTTCAATCTCCACCATACATTCAATGCCACAATGCATCATCTATTTTTCTTCCTGTATGTCCACAAACCATAAAACAGAACACAATTGCAGTAATGTGAGTATAAAATAGATCGTTGAATCATGCAATTTGAGACATTTGTTTGATCTTCATAGCTGCAATGATATAGAAAAGCTAGAACATATACTACAACAACTTGCCAAAACACAAAAGAGAAATCTGGAAGGAAGTTCAAAATACTTCCAATGGACCAAAGGACCTGCAACCTGCCAAAGACCCGACGTATAAATTTTTCTGCTAGACTTGCACCAAAATTCGATGAATTTGGACCAAACTATGGATGAACTTCTTGCTAATATTGTACAAAATACTTCCAATGGGCAGCAGCAACTTGTAGAAACATAGGACAGCAGTAGCAACAATATCTTTTCCTTTCTCATTTTTGTGTCTTGATTCACCAACCTATAGTTTTCCTTCAAAATATCTTACTACCTCTAACAACAAAAAACCTTATTGCCTCTAACATGAGCTTCAATCAAAGAACAACCTCTTATAAAGTTGTAACACATCCTCACACCGGTTATAACAATTTCTTGCGGGTTACCCTTCGTGGGATTTACCGTCAACAATCTCATTCAACTTGGCTTCGGCCTTTAATATTTATAAAAACAGAAAGGGGTAATTATACAAAATGGTCTCTGAGATTGTCTACCATCTATGATTTTGGTCCTTCCGTGATAAACTCTTTGGGCAATTTTCAAAGCTTCGTAACTCAATCAATTTTCAACCAAATTCGACCCATAATATATCAAAATGAATATAAGAAAGTGTAGAACAAGATTATACCTATCTAGACGCCCAATGATTGCCGGAGATGGCCAGAAAATAACCTGAAATGTGACTGATTCGCAGGAAAACTGGAAAACTCGCCGGAAACTAGGTAAACTTTAAACGTTCATAACTTCTCCAATACTCAACCAAATTGAGTGATTCAAAAATGAAAATCATACTTCTCGACAAGGTGAAGATAATGGTATCTTTCTTGACTGCTAACTCGCCGTGGTTTGTCCGAAAAACTGCTCGAAAGAGGCTAACTCGAAAATGGTTAGCCACTTTCGAGCCGTTGTCCGACCAAACCACGGTGCGTTAGCCTTCAAAAAAGGTATCATTCTCTTCTTCTCATCAAGAAGTATGATTTTTGTTTTTGAATCGCTCGATTTGGTTGAGTATTGAAGAAGTTATGAATGTTTAAAGTTTACCCAGTTTCTGGCGAGTTTTCCAGTTTTCCCACGGACCAGTCACCTTTCAGGCTATTTTCCAGCCATCTTCGGCAACCATTGGGCTTCCAAATAGATATAATCTTATTCTACACTTTCCTATCTTCATTTTGATATATTATGGGTCGAATTTGGTTAAGAAACGATTGAGTTACAAAGTTTTGAAAATTGCCCAAAGAGTGTTTAACAGAAGACCAAAATCATGGATGGTGGACAATCTCATGGACCATTTCTATTGATTTTAAATCTCATGGACCATTTCTATTGATCATGCAAATCTCATGAACCATTTTGTATAATAACCCAACAAAAAATTAACAAACTATGGTGTGGCATCGACCTTAACTATAGCACCACGGGACTGCCCTTTGTGGATTTTACCAAAAACAACTTCTTTGAACAATAGCATCGGCCTTCACAATTTGAACAACAGAAAATCAACATCTATGTAGGATTACCCTTCGTGGGATTTACCACTAAAAAACTTCTTCTACCCTTCGTGGGTTTTACCTATTCACATCACTGGATTACCCTTCGTGGGATTTACCGTTAACAACTTCTTCATACTTCATCATATAACTGGACTTACTATAGATTCATGCTAACAACTAAGTTGGTTAGACTCGACATTATAGGCTGTAATAAGGAAAATATTGCATCACTCAGTTAAACAAACACATTGAGCCCTACACGAAGCTAACAAGAATACTGTAAAACTCATTGGGAAGCAATGCCAAGATAGCCATTATTTGCACACTGAGCCTTGCACGAAGTCATGTTTAGCAATCGAAAAGCACTCTTCTTTGCAAGTTATGCGAAAGAGGTGACTACTAATGGAAAGGTCAATGTAGTAAGATCAGATATGGCGTTGGTAAAGCAACTTCAGAAAGAATTATGAATAGAGGCAAAATCAATATTGGGGATCTTGGAGTTGCGAATAAAATATGATCCAGTCAACTGTCCCCATCTCCCCCTTTCAGAGATGGGGGTTCAATTTTCAGTATTAGCAGCGATTACAACAGCAAACGAAGCAAGTGCAGTCATAACACCGAGCCAAATATCCCAAATATCATAAATATTGATCTTGAAATGAAGAATCTTGAAAGAAAATATCACAACCAACTGGAAGAACCCAGAAAATGAATGACTCTATATCAACTGAATGACTCCACGTATTAACAATTTTTATAGGCAAGAAACATATATGGCTTTGTGCCCAAATTTTAACCTCAAGAACTGATCAATTTTACTGAGAATCGAAAAGAAATAACTTGATTTCACGATTGTCTACAACTTCCAAACGCATAGCCATTGCTTTAAGAAAGAACATCTTAGGGGAAAGAAAATAGGGCAATTCGTCAAACACCTAGACGACAGCAAACAAGAAGCATAAGAAATCCATTTATCGAAGTTGAAATCGAGACCAAGAAATGGGAAGCAACAAGAAGACTGGTCTGCACTGATTGACATCACCAACGATTCTCCGATAGTTGGACTTGCAATAGGAAGCTTAGAGACTCCATTGTCGGCCATACTCAAACAGAGAAGCTGCAGAGCCAAGAACACACTTGGGTCCGGATAGGCCTTGCTGAAAGGTCAAGTCAAGACCCTTTTGCAGTAAGTTGAAAATGAGGTTGAGCTCTCAAAGATATCGCTCGAAAGCCGCCCTATTTGCCTTATTCAAGGCCTTATCGCCAACTCTCCGATGGGACTCCTGGCGCTAACTCCATATGACAGCAATCCAACAAACAAACAATACAAAATCATGATGATAGTTTTCTGGTTTGCCTCTAAGAACTAAAGCTCTTCACCGTCGTCCATCTTCGGGGTACCCATTTGATTCAAACCCAACACCAAGAAAGACAACCCAACAATTGCAACAATCGCGATCCCAACAATCGTAGAAAAACAACCTAAGCTCGCAGAAGCACCAAAAATCTAATGGAAATTTGGAAAGAAACTAAGCTAGAAACATATGAAAAATAATGAGAAATGGAACCACCAGAATCAATGGCATGAGCCTGGTGGCTCTGATACCATGTTAACTACATTGTAAAAGAAGAAGAATTGGTACAGAGGAAGAAAAAGATGATAGAGAGAAACAAGAGAGATTTTAGAGAGGGAGTTTAGAGAGAGAAATATGATTTGTATTAACTAACTAAATGAAGACTACACACACTGTTTTTATAAGAGAAATTCTAACTACTTTAACCAAATACTAACAATCTTACTAACTGTATTTCTAACTATATTACATTTGTACCCTTAATAAATTCAACATACATATATAATAATGAATTTATAAAAATAAAAATAAAACTAAAAAGATACAATAAATAAAAACAGAGTATGCTATACCTGAGTGCCTGGCATGTGCATGCACTTGACACGTCGAGCTTTTCCCACGGTTCTTCTATCATCGCTTGAGCTGTTTATAAACACCACGACATCCTTCCGATTTGGTGTCGGCGCCGGCACCTTCAACATACTATGCACCATTTATTTCAAAGATTATGTATCTATCTCGAACCTCGATTGTCGATTGGAACGGCTACGAGTCTTACCCTTGGTGACTTACGAATTGTCGCCGGCATCGCAGCCAGGATGAGGAGAATCATTCGGCGGTAGAAGTAGGGTTTTGAAAGATTCTGCATCCATGTTAAAGCAAGATTTCCTCATCGAAACTACAATTCTTTCTCTTCCTGACCTGTTCGAACACTTCAGAATGTTCGTCGTCCTCAGAGGCAGAGAATCTTTTGCGAGTTGAGCTAGGGTTTTAAGAGATTCAGGATCTATCTTGGAGCTCGAATTCTCCATTGTACCAATAAACGATTCTTTCTATTCTCGACCTGTTCTACGACTTCCAAATTGTCGGTGGTCTCTTCGTCGAACGGGAAGCAGAGCCGCCTGGAGTTAGGGTTTTAAGTCGGAGAAAGTGAGAGGTCAATTTAGAATTCAGATGATCAGGAAATGCTGTTAGAGAGGAGGGAATTGTGATTGGATTTTTCATTTGCGTTTTGGCGCTCAAAAACGAAATGTAACAATTTATATTTTATGTTCTTTTTCTTTTTCTTTTTTTTTTTGGTGAGGTGTGGGGACCACAATTTGCTGCATTATACTACATCATCGAAGAATTTTTTTAGGGCAAATTACATAATACCTCCTCATGTTTGAGGTCTATTACAATCCCATATAACATCTTTAAAATATTTCATTTTCATACCTCACGTACTATTTTATTTTAAAATAATACCTCCGTTACATTTTCCATCTATTGGTCTGTTAAATGCTGACGTGGCATTAGTGGACCTCGTTACACATCAGCCCACTCCTTCCAAAACTTGCACATGTGGATATCCATCTGCCACGTCATGCCAACTCAACAAAAAGTGCCACGTGGCCAAAATTTCAAATTTAAAAAATTTCCCGCCATTTTTTTAATTCCTATTTCTTTATGGGTTTTGGCGGCTAAATTATGAACAATTGCATCAGATGCAATCCAAAATGTAGAAATGCATATTTCCACATAATTGAACCTAGTAATCAATGAATAGGCAAAAATGTAATCCAATATCCAAATAGGCAACTAAAGTAGCAATATATTTCACTTTCTTGGTAACCAAATAACAAGCATGTTCCATATATTAGCAACCAAAGCTAACATCTAGGAGTTCAACTGGAAATAACAATTTTGAACCCTAACAAGCTAGCATGTTCCCAAAAGGATATCTAGCCAGTAGCAAAATAACAGTTCCTAATAAGCTACAAATCCAATTGGGAGCAAAATAACAGTTCCTAGCTAAGCAAAAAAGCAGTTCTTAGCCGCTACCAACATTCACAAAAAATTCCAGCCACTAGCAAAAAATTCCAACATAAAAAAACCTAGTTTGTTTTTGTATGGCAACACTTTTCACTTTCCTGGTTGCCTTGTCTTTCTCTTCTTCACTCCTCCATCTGTTTGAACCTCTGAATTACCTCATCCAGCTATGTTTGATGCCTACATCCAATGTTTAGTACAACAATATCCAAATCAATAACAATATAGGCCACAAGTTATCACAAAAGAATATCCACATCCAATGCATACAAAGGAATCCCTAAGTTATTACAATATAGGCCACAAATTCATTTACAAACCCTAACTAAATAAAACAAGTGAAACAGTGCTTACCTTGGGTTTCCTTCCCTCTTCCTTGGTACACCACCTGGATTACTAGATGCTCCATGTGCAAAACTTGATGCCTAAAACAAATTAAAGGATTTCAGGATTAATAAAGTCTTAAATCAACTTAGAAATCATATAACTTTGTACAAGGTTATATGCCACCTCTTTCTTGTAGGACGATGCCTATGATGAGTCCTGGTATTGTGGCCCTTTTTTTTACATATTCCACATTTGACGGTCCCTTGGCCTTTCCTTGAAAGCTGTTGTGGCTGTGAAATATCTCCACTTCTGTTAGTGGCCTCATTTTGTGTAGGATTAGCTTCTTTCTCCTTTCCTGCAACCTTTTTGTTTCTCTTCTTCTTGGGTCTTCCAGGTTGTCTAGTATGTAGAGGAAGCTGGATAGGTGGATTTTCAGTGACCTCCCACATTGACATCTCATTCATTGGCTAGATCAAGTGTCCATATATTTCCAAGTACATGACCTTGGAATAACAAACATCCACATAGTTTTTTGGCTTCTCCTTCTTGTAATTAATGGCAATAATGGCATGGCTGCATGGAAGACCAGTGAGGTCAAATCCTCGACATGAATATGTATGTTCAGTCAAGTCAACAACAAATTGGTCACGTCTTCCAGCATCCACTTGGAAATTTAGTCCCACCATACCATTGAGCAATGCATCGACCACTCTCTATTTTTGCAACCTCCAACTTCTTCTTAATCTTGGGGCACAAATCTCCAGGTTGTCTCACCATAATGTCTCTTCTAATTTGAATCCTTATCATCAACATGGTATGAATAATCTGAAGCATGGTTACAATTTGTTTCGACCTTGCCTTCACTATCACGGCATTGAAACTTTCACACAAGTTGTTCAACAACATTTCACACTTGGTATGCGTTTGAAAATGGGACCTACTCCAATGAATGGTAGGTCTCTTCATAAGTTAATTATATGCATCTTCACTCAATAATCTAAGCTCCTCCATGGCTCTTCTAAAGTGCGGAATTGTAGTGGTCTTGGAAACAACCCATAAAGCATCCTTCAATGCCTTACCCTTAAACTGTTCTCTATAGTTTGTGTACAAATGCCGCACACAAAACCTATGGTGACAATAAAAAATAACCGCCAAGAATGCAGAAATTAAACCCTTCTGCTTGTCACTAATGAATGTCCAACGATGCTGATTTATAATCCCAATATCCTCGGCCAAAATCTCCAAGAACCAAATCCAGGAATATTTGTTCTCCATCTCGACAACTGCATAAGCTATCACCTAAGTTTCATCATTGGGATCCATTCCTACAGCAACCAACAATTAACCCCCATGCTGAGACTTCAAATGACAACCATCTAAACCAATCAAGGGTCTGCAACCATGCTTGAAACCTTCCTTGCATGTACC